CCTGTATAATATGAGCCCATAGCCCGTGTAGTACGAGTCTGTATAATATGAGCCAGTAGCCTGTGTAATATGAGCCTGTATAATATAAACCCATAGCCCGTGTAATACGAGCCTGTATAATATAAACCCATAGCCCGTGTAATACGAGCCTGTATAATATAAGCCCTTAGCCCGTGTGACACGAGCCTGTATAATACGAGCTCGTAGCCTGTCCTACAAGCCTGTATAATAGAAGCCTATAGCCTGTGTAATATGAGCCTGTATAATATGAGCCCATAGCCTGTGCAATATGAGCCTGTATAACACGCGCCCATAGCCCGTGTAATACGAGCCTGTATAATATAAGCCCATAGCCCGTATAATACGAGCCTGTATAATATAAGCCCATAGCCCGTGTAATACAAGCCTGTATAGCCCGTGTAATACGAGCCTGTATAATATAAACCCATAGCCCGTGTAATACAAGCCTTAATATGAGCCTGTATAATATGAGCCCGTAGCCTGTGTAATATGAGCCTGTATAATACGAGCTCGTAGCCTGTGTAATATGAGCCTGTATAATACGAGCTCGTAGCCTGTGTAATATGAGCCTGTATAATACGAGCTCGTAGCCTGTGTAATATGAGCCTGTATAATACGAGCTCGTAGCCTGTGTAATATGAGCCTGTATAATACGAGCTCGTAGCCTGTGTAATATGAGCCTGTATAATACGAGCTCGTAGCCTGTGTAATATGAGCCTGTATAATACGAGCTCGTAGCCTGTGTAATATGAGCCTGTATAATATGAGCCCATAGCCTGTGTACTATGAGCCTGTATAATATGAGCCTGTAGTCCATCCACACAAGATTTACATACAGGATTATCTGATTTATGTATGGGATTATCTGATTATCAAGTATCTGACACAGGGAGTTCTGAGTCTCAAAAGCTTATACCTTGCAAATCTTTTCTGGTCTCTAAGGTTCTTCTGAACTCAATTCTACCTCTTGTAATGCACACCAAGATGGCTGCCCTCAGAAACTATATAGCAGGGATCCCCAACCTTTTTGAGCCTCTGGGTACCTTTAGGATTCTCACAGCATACTAGACCATACTGGCTCAAGCATGGCTGTCCCAAAACAGCTGCTGCAGCTTACATTTAGTCATACAGTGAACATTCTTGTGCTGTGGTAGCAGCTGCTGCTGAAGCAACATTTTTAAAAATCTCCACAGCCGATCAAATCTCCAATGGCCAATTAGAAGCCTTGCTGGGCAAAAGCCCTACCTTGCCCCACCCACCTTCTAAAAACACTTGTCGGGCACTGGAAAAGGTGTCAGACGGCGTCCATGGGCACCGCATTGGGGATCCCTGCTATATAGGACTATATTCCCCTCAAGGAGAATTGTGGTTAGTGTTGTCAAGGAAGACAATCCCAGAAGGCTCATTTAAGAGCTAACTCGCCTAATTTCTATGAGGTTATTTATACCCTATGAGGTTATTTATACCCAGGGGTCATTTCCTGCAGGAGAGCACAGGAGCGGAGCTCCTGGCAGTAAAGAGCCCAGGGGGCGGGCACATGCAACAAGCCCCACCCCCTGCTCCCAGAAGCCCCGGGCCACAAAGAGCAAGAAGCAGCTAGGTAAATTGCAGAGCCCCCCCCCTCCAAAACAGTCTAGTGGCACCTTTAAGACCAAGTTTTATTCAGGTACAAGCTCTCCCTCCTCTGCAAGGACAGGGAGTTAAACCACGCTACCGCACTCGCGGGCAGATAGCTAGCAATCCAAAACAGTCCAGTGGAGCCTGAGCGGTGGGTGTTGCCTTCTGACACACTTCCGGTGATGTCAGGGGGTGTGGCATATGCAAATAAGTTATGCTAATGAGCTCCTGCACCTCTTTTTCTATGAAACGACCCCTGGTTATACCATATAACAGATAAGATCGATAAGATAAGATAGAAATGATAATATAGTATGCGAAAATGGTGGAATATATTTAGGTCGTTAAGGGATCTAGGCAATATATATATATTGCATTATACATTTGTTAAGCTAGTATGCTATATACTTTTTAAATTTACACACGTATTCTGATCAAGGAATGTCCTCAATATTTGTAAAACTGCCCTTACATTGTATCTTTGGTAATTATATTTCCTGTGCGTTTTTCCCTATTCCCTTTTTTCTTTCTGTATCCCCTTAAAAATTTAAAATAAAATTTACACACACACACACACACACACACACAAAGAGCTAACTCACCTCTCGCCCGACAATCAGGAGAGACACCCTGAGATCCCTGCCCACCCTACCTTTCTTCACCAGTCCCTCTCCTCTCCACCTCTCACCAGCGCATAGCGTGTTTTGGCCATGTTGATCAGCTCCTGGTCTGTAGGGGAGCACATGTTCAGGCCGATGGGAAGCATCTTCTTGAGCGTGGCCACGATGAGGGAGGTCTGCACCGAGTAACGGTCCCCGCGTCGCTTCTTCTTGGTCCGCTCCTGGTCCGAGCCACCCGACTGGGAGAAGAAGTGGGGAGAGGAAGGTTAGTACCAGGGAAGGCTGGTCTTGCTCTGGCTATCCCACGGCATGCCAAGAGATCGGCCGGGCAAAAAAGCTTAAACGGCCAAGCGCCGCTCAGAGGCAGGAATCCGGTGAAGGGGGGAGTGGGGGAGGTAGGCTAAAGGCTTCCTCCGCGGGAGAGTGGAGTGGGGAGGTGTGTTTCCTGGGTAGAAGAAAAGAGGACGACTGTCGGTGGGGACGGCCAGACCCTGGTTCCCCGTATTGGGGGTCTTGCCGGCAGGCACCTTGGAAACGTCCAAACCAAAGTTGTTTCCTAATAGGCAGATGTAAGCTTGGATCCTGGGGATCCATTCTGTTAGTGGCGGTGCTGTCCTCCGGCAGAAAGGTTCGCGTGCAAAAGTACCTCCGCTAGGGGAATGGACATTGGGGATCCAGCCCATGATCTCCAAGCAGGAAAAAATATGCCCCTTGTTGCTTTCCATGGTGTAAACGGATCAAGAAGCCACGGGACAGGTCTGATCCTGGTCCGCAAGAAGATGTTCAAAAGAAACACTCAGGCCAGAGTCACACGTGCTGTTTTAAACCGGTCTCTGGTCACTCTCCCACCGTGTGAACACAACAGAAAGGCTAAATATGCTTGTGCCAGGTTTCTGAGTGGATCGATGGCCACGCGAGAAGGCGGATTGACCATCAGCTGTGCACTATCCTTATGGCTTTGGTCTCGGCGGTAACAGGCACAGTTTTTCCTTTCAGGGAGATCTCTCTGTGTAGGGATCACAGCATGTCCCAGTGGCTTGAAGAGCAGAAATAGAGGTATTTGCGATGTGAAGCAGGAAAGGGAATCTGGAGAGCTGCCCGTCAGGTGGTGTTGACGGAGATCTAGGACTGAAAGATCAGAACCGAAGAAGAGAGCTGGGGGTTCAGCAAGAGGGAAGACATTTGACATCTGTAAGGGATCTAGGCAAAAGGCGGGTGGGAGAGTGGAATGAACCGGAGGACACAAAAGGAAAATATTAAGTCTTGGGGTTCTAAGGGAAGGGAGGTCAAACAGATCAGGGGAAAACACAGATTCTTTTTGGGCTCTCTCTGAAGGCAGGGCTGGAAAAATGGCCTGCATTCCCCTAGGGTCCTAGTGCCGAATTCTTATGTGCTCGGATAGCCATCGGACTGGGATTCTGACAGCCCTGTGGGAGCGAAAGGAGGCGTCCAATATGGGTCAGGAAGGGAAGGATTGGACTGGCACTCTCACGACACCCCTCCTCCATTCCACCGAAATCAAGATGGCAACCAATGCCCACCTCGCCCTTGCCCCCCCTACATTCAGCCTTGCAAAAGTGCCTTCTAACGTCTACACAGAACCACACACAAGACACACAGAGCCCTCGTCAGCCAAAGACGCACAATCCGCCAAGTGTGGCGTTATGGGCAGCCCCTACTCCCCCCCCCACACACACACACGGGTGGTGAGCGATGCCACAACTGTGGGCTTTGGGACCCTCACAGCAGTGTGAAAAGGACAAAACAGAAGAACCGTGAGGAAACGGCTCCAGGAACAGAGGAGCGTGACCGGGGTGAAATTCCCAAAGCATGCTGGGAGAGGAGGAGTTGTCACACAACAGTGGCCTTCTTGGGAAGGGGGGGAACAACTAGAAGTTACGCCAGAGACATCACAGGATTGAGGCTGCACCCTACCACATGGTGATCCGCCCAGGTGCATGATGGGTGGCTAGACCCACCAACGGGGGCGCTCGATGGCTCGCGGAGGCCAACCCATCGGATGCATGATGCGTTGCTGCCAGAACTGCGGAAAGCTTCTTGCGCTCCTGCCATCGCCCATGCAGCTGCGCCCCCCCTTCCCTCTCCCCCTCAAATTCGGGAAGGGTTCCCGCCGCTCTCCTAAGGAGAGGGAGGGGAGGGTTGCGGCAGAGATGCGTACTGCGCCATGCTGTTTCCACGTGCCCCGCACAACAGCAAAGAAAAAAAACCACAGGGGGGGGCAGTGGAACGGCTGGTGTGTCTCTAACCTGGCTGTCTCCAGACTACACACAAAACGGCATAGGGAGAAGAGGGGAAACGAGACAGAAGAGGAGAGAGAGATGGTTAGGTGAGGAGGTAAATGCAGAGAGAGAGAAAAAAAGAAAGAGCCTGCCCCCCGGGACTTGGCGGATCTATGATATCCAACCCTCCCCGCCCCACTTCTTCCTGATTCCCCACCAGCCAATTGATGTCAAGACGCAAAGCAAAAACCACCGGCTAGAAGAAGCCCAGACTTCTTCCCAGGAACTGTGTCCCTCACAGAATCCTGCCCCTCTTCGCCGCCGCCCGTCCTCCCCAGAGGAGAAGATAACCAAGCTTCTATTCCTCCTCGGTTGGGAGAAGAGTGAAAGCGTTCAGGCGGGGACCGCTGAGCATCCCTGAGCACAGTGGTTAAGCGGTTTGGTACCCTTTCCCCTTCTACACCACTCCCTCATCCTCCCCCCCTTCCCTCCATGGGCTCTCTATCACTTCCATGGCTTGCCCCCGGTTTCCAAACGCTGCTATGAGATAAACATTGCACGGTTCAGATCCCGACAATTAACAAAGAACGAGGCCCAAATCATTCTCATTTTCCAAGCCCGTTGTACCAAAAGTTAGGAAGGTGGGGAGAAAGGTGCCCCTCTTCGAGGCATTCTGCGACTGGTTGCGGGATGACTGCCACAGCTGGGGTGGTGGTAGGATTACGCGGGATACCCCATCAATGTTCCCTCTAAGGTGGGGAGTCTTGTGAGCAAAAATTCTACTTTGTGAGCTACTGGCATTAAAGTAGTGAGCGAGCGATTTGGCGATGGCATACATTAGCTTGCTCGGGAGCCCTCCTCCCTGAGCTGAGACAAGAAATGTGTGAGCCGGAGGCTAAAAAACTGTGAGCTAACTCACACTCACTCAGCTTAGAGGGAACACTGTACCCCATACTCTCGAAGCTCTGCTCAGCCTAAAGAGCGGTACTATTAATGCTGTCTGGTCACACTTGCGGTGCTCAAAGCCCTTTGCTGCAAGAGCGGTCAGATCAAGGATCCACCTGATCTCGCATCTTGTTTCCCACAATGGCCAATCAGAAATCCCCGGAAAGGTGTCAAGGGGAGCACAGTGCCAAAGCTTCCTCCCTGTTCTCAACTCCCAGCCTCGGTATTTAGAAGTACGGTGCCCCTGAACGTGGAGGTTCCATCTAGTCATCGTGGCTCACAGCGATCGGAAGGACCTGTCCCTCCACGAATTTTTTAAAATATCTCAATAATCCTTCCAACAACCCTGCAAGAAATGCTTATATTATTACCCTCGTTAGAGTCATGGACTGAAGGAAGGGGGTGAGCCTGAGACACACAAGGCCTTCCTAAGTGGTCCTAGTAAATTCACAGCTGTGGTGACATTTGAAACAGTGATACCCCCCGCTTCTCAGCTTGTTCCCGTCACCATTACCCTGCAGGAATTCTTGGCCGTCCCCGCAGAGAGGAAGCAGCTCAAGGGCTGTCAACTCCAAGATTCTCCCGAATTACCCCTAGGAAGTTGATATTTGGTCCGTAAGCGGGGCAGCCCCATAGAAGGTGGACAGGTTCTCCATTCCAGCCCCCCCCTCCCCGAACAGTCAGTTTGTCCCCCCTCCCCCGGGCATTCATCTCACCTTGGACATTTTGCTCTTGCTATCAGCCGTGAGGAAGGACATGTTGTTGATTTCGTTTTGCACGACGAAATTTTGCTCCTCCCGCTTGAAGTTCTGCAGAACGAAATTAAAAAGAGAATGAGGCACAGCGGCAGTTCCTTGACAGGAAGGTCAGAATCGCCGCATCTCTTGGAAAGAGAAAAGATCACAGTCCCTTCTTGTCACCAAGGGACGCTGCCATCAAGGAAGATAGCCTGTCTCTCCTGGCAGTTTCTGGAAGATATTTTTCATGACAAAAAGAGACAACTCATTGTCCATTGGTGGCCAAAGACAGTTTTGTGGTCTTCACACGTACTTCAAGAAGTGTGACCCAGAACCTGTTATGGTGTGGCTGGGGTAGCTGTGCGCAACCCAAGTTTCACACCCCACTTGGCGATGCCGCGACAATTCCCCCCCTCATTTTATTTATAGTTTTTTAACGTTATTACATTCATATATGTATATGTATACACACTCACACACGTATATATGGTTTTCAAAGGTTTTGGAGTCCTTACATACATTTTTCTACTAACCATTTATAAACTCTAGACCATCTTTTTTGGAATAACTTTTCATCTTTTCCTTGTAGTAACGTATTTAACTTGTCCATTTCCGCAACTTCCAATAATTTTTTAGCTAATTCGTCTCTTGTAGGTATTCTCTCTGATTTCTAGCTGAGGTAAAACTATAGGTCAATAAGTACACATAATTTTGCTCGTAACAGCTTGGAATTATATTCAACAGGTAGATTTCTGGTACTATTTTTAAGTTAATGTTCATTATTTCTATTATTATCTTATTAAGGTTTTGCCAAAGCGATGCCATGACAATTCTTGAGGGGCCATTTCCCCGATTGCATGCTTCTCTGCCACACAATTCTCGCCGAAAACTCTCACTCACATGTGACTTGGACCAGTAAATGAACACCTCCCCGACCATCCGGAACAGCTCCTCAGCATCCAAGTTTGGCTCCGTCAACCATTTGGCCCTGCCGACCCAAAACACAGAACCGTCAGTGGATAGTTGTTCCATCATCCAAAGCTAACGGGACTTGGTCTGCGTAGACAAGGGATCCTCAATGTGGTGCCCGCGGGCACCGGGCCCGCATCACCTGCACACTGTTTCCCTGATAGCACTGGCTTGTATATGCAGCTGAGAGTTCTGCTGCTATCTCCAAGGGTGCAACCACTGCGCACTACCAACACACACTTCCTTAATGACACTGGGCAGTTGGGATCATGGGTACAGACAAGGGCAGTGCACGAGTGGGGGTCCGCGGGAGTGGGCCCCAGCAGAAGTCCAGAGCCCTGGCAGCTGTCCCACCTCAGGGTATGCCGATGCGAGCCTTGACATCTGGTGTTCCAACCGAGTACTGATAATCAGCACAGTTCATGAGCATTTGTTCACATGCAGGAACCTTATCCCGAAGCCCTCTACTGTAGGTTTCAGGTCTGGGTCATTTGCGAGGTTAGGAGAAAGGGATACAGGAAAACTTCTAAGTCCCCTTGCCACACACCCTCTCCTAGAAAAAGACCCCCCCTCTGGACTGCACCTGTTGTTGTCCACGTAGCGGATCAGCAGCGGGTAGAGGGCGTAGAGATCTCGGCAAAGCACCGAGAACTCGTCCCGGATCAGCAGCTCGGCATCCTCCGACTCGCCCTTGGCCTCCAGCCGCAGCTGCTCCTCCTCGGCCACCACCTTCCCTGAGCGCTTTTTCAGTTTCTCCATGGTGGGGATGAAATGGGAACGGAGAAGCTCTGGCTTGGCTTTGCTCACGATGGGCTGGGCAAAGACTGGGCGGGAAAGGGTTAAGCGGAGGGGGGGAGAAACGGCATCAGTACACCATCTCCAATGCTGAGCCTGACCAATGCTCCCTCTAAGCTGTGAGGTCTTGTGAGCAAAAATTCAACTTTGTCAGCTACTGGCATTAAAGTGGTGAGCCAGCAATTTGGCTTCTGCATGAATTAGCTTGCTCTGGAGCCCCATCCTTCCTGAGCTCAGACAAAAAATGTGTGAGCCGGAGGCTAAAAAACGGTGAGCTGGCTCACACTAACTCAGCTTAGAGGGAACGCTTACCCTGACCCTTCCTTACCTGCCAATCGCTTCATCCAGGAAGCTTCGTCGATGCCCAGGTTGTTGACAATGATCTTCAGGATGTTGCCCAACAAGGTATTGAGTTGGTCAGACGTCACTTCTGTGCACCAGGGCCCCTGCGGGTTCGTCTCAGAGCCCCGTTCCCACCAGCGCGGCAGGTAGTTGCAGAGCATGGGCAAAGTGACCTCGATAACGTGGGGCATCTCCGTGTAGCGGGCCCCCGACTCAGCCAGGCCGCTGATCTCCTTCATGAGCTTGTCCAGAACTGGGATGTCCGGGCACATTTCCTCCACACTGTTGGGCAGGCCTAAGACTGGGGATGCAGAGAGAAGGGTGTCCGAGTAGTCAGTTTGGGGTAGGGGGCAGGCCCTTACAGGCCTGTATCCCAAAGGGTCATCCCTTCCCCATCCCTGACTATCCGATAGTTGTGTCAAGCAGCAGCCAATACAGAATAGGGAGCGTTCCTGAAAATACCCAACTCTATTTTTTAAAAATCCTCTAGTCCTCAAGATTTCAGAAAAAAAGTCTAACGATCTGAAGGCAGCTCTGGAGGCTCGAGGTAATTTTGGGGACTGAACCTGCATCTTCTACCATGGAGTCACAGCCTTCCCTAAATGAAACTGCCTTATACTGAATCAGACCCTGGGTCCATCAAAGTCAGTATTGTCTACACATTCTGGCAGCAGCTCTCCGGGGGCTCAGGTTGAGGTCTTTCACGTCACCTACTACCTGGTCCTTCTAACTGGAGATGCTGGGGATTGGACCGCCTGCCTGCCAAGTGGATGCTCTACCACGGAGCCACAGCCCCAGCCCCATTCTCCACAGAGCCGCTTAGGTGACCAGGAGTTGCGACTCACCAATGTGAAGCTGGGATAACATTGCCTAGGCTTGATGTCAAAGCGAGTCATCATCTCCTTCTCCTTCAACCAGAACGAACGCTCACACTGGAACGGTCACATTATGAATCACACAGGAGCTGAAAAGCCAGCTGGTTGGCCCTTCCCCCTACACTCACTCTCACATGAGCCAGATGTGACCTCTTTAACTCCTTCCCTTGTCCCCAGACTTAAACAAGCAACTGAAGCTCTGACCACCGGACTCGGTATTCTCTAGAGTTAGTCCACTGAGCTCGGTATTCTCTAGAGTTAGACCCCTGGGTTCAGTATTCTCTAGAGTCAGACCACTGAGCTCGGTATTCTCTAGAGTTAGTCCACTGAGCTCGGTATTCTCTAGAGTCAGACCTCTGGGCTCGGTATTCTCTAGAGTCAGACCCCTGGGCTCGGTATTCTCTAGAGTCAGACCCCTGGGCTCGGTATTCTCTAGAGTCAGTCCACGGAGCTCAGTATTCTCTAGAGTCAGTCCACGGAGCTCAGTATTCTCTAGAGTCAGTCCACTGAGCTCGGTATTCTCTACTCAGACCCCTGGGCTTGGTATTCTCTAGAGTCAGTCCTCTGAGCTCGGTATTCTCTAGTTATGTACTAAACTCGGTATTCTCTAGTCAGACCCCTGGGCTCGGTATTCTCTAGAGTCAGTCCACTGGGCTCGATATTCTCTTTTCAGACCCCTGGGCTCGGTGTTCTCTAGAGTCAGTCCACTGAGCTCGGTATTCTCTACTCAGACCCCTGGGCTTGGTATTCTCTAGAGTCAATCCAGTGGGCTCGGTATTTTCTAGAGTCAGACCCCTGGGCTCGGTATTCTCTAGGGTCAGTCCACTGAGCTCAGTAATCTCTAGAGTCAGTCCACTGAGCTCGGTATTCTCTAGTCAGACCCCTGGGCTCGGTATTCTCTAGAGTCAAACCCCTAGGCTCGGTATTCTCCATAGACCACAGGGCTTGGTATTCTCTATATTCAGTCCATTGGGCCCGGTATACTTTGAACTCAGTCCACTGAGGTCAGTATACTCTAGAGTCAGTCCACTGAGCTCAATATTCTGTAGAGTCAGACTACTGGGCTCAGTATTCCCTAGCATCAGACTACTGGGTGCAGTATTCTCTAGAATCTGACCAGTGACCTCAGTATTGTCTAACTCTTGACTGATAATGAATTATCAGGGACTCAGGTAGAGGAAGTGCTCTCCCACTAAGCTATCACCCCTCCTGAGCTACAGCCCCTTGAAGAAGTTTCCTGTGAGATGCGGCCATCTGCCCGTTCTTTTTCCTCCCACTGGCACTCACTTGCTCGCTCCCTTGGTGATTTGGTGGTGTAGACCGAGTAGGGGTTGTATTCATTGATGTGGGGCTCCAGGAACGCCACGGGCATTGCTGCTGCCAGCCGAGCCAAACATTCTCCAAGTTGTGGACGTTGCCTGCAGAGAGTGAGGGAGGTCAGGTGGCACCGTTCACACAGATCAGCTTTGCCAACACTGCCCTGTAACTGCCAGTTTCCCGATTCCAAGATGGGAATGCCACTAATCCATCGGAGCTGAAATGCACTTTTTTAAAAAAAGCAGTGACACAAGGGCTGTTCACAGGAAATTTTTAGAGCATGGACAGATGCACAAACTTCTCTTAAAAGAAGAAGTGTTGGATTTATACCCCGGCCTTTACTCGGAGTTTCCGAGTGGCTTATAATCTCCTTCCCTTCCTCTCCCCATAACAGACACCCTGTGAGGCACATGGGGCAGAGGAAGCTCTGGGAACTGCTCTTGAGAGAACAGCTCTGAGAGAACTTGTAACTGACCCAAGGTCACACCAGCAGCTGCATGCAGAGGAGTGGGAAATCAAACCTGGTTCTTCCAGATTAGTGTCTGAGCTCCTAACAACTACACCAAACTGGCTCTCTACACCCCAATTCGTCTGACTGACTTCTGCCGCCAACCAGAGGGTGAGAAGGGCTGTGCTCCCCCACGGCTCCATTTCTCCACAACTTGGCCCTTGTTTTGTTTCTTGCTCCACATTTGCACACCCCTTCACTCACCTCTCCACATAAGGATTTTTGGTTGTCCCCAAGGAATAGATACTGCATAGAGTTCGGTAGCAGGAGACCTGCACATCATCCACTATGAAAGAGAGAGACTGACTCAGTCCAAGCGTCATGTAGATTGCCTTTCCCACAATTCTCTGCTGTTAGAGATACAGCAATCTTTACCCAGTAATTTCCTTGGGAGCCATCTTGTCTCAGGAAAGCAGCCATCTTGTATTCATGACAGGCTCCCCTTTATACAGCCTCTTCTCCACACAATTCTCTACTTTGACCCGTTCCCCACAGTTTTTCTCAGAAAAGCAGCCATCTTGGGATTTATTTTACACAGCTTATCCTTCCAATTCTCTACTGCAATCGTGTCTCTGCAATGTTCCCTCAGCAAAGCAACCATCTTGGATTTATTAAAGGCTTCCATTTACACATCTCCTCTTCCCCACAATTCTCTACTGCAATCCTTTGCCTGCAATGTTCCCTCAGAAAAGCAGCCATTTTTGATTCATGACAGGCTTCCATTTACACAGCTTATCCTTCCCACAATTCTCTACTGCAATCATGTCTCTGCAGTGTTCTCTCAGAAAAGAAGCCATCTTAGATTCACGACAGGCTTCCATTTACACATCTCCTCTTCCCCACAGTTCTCTACTGCAATCCTTTGCCCACAATGTTCCCTCAGAAAAACAGCCGTCTTGGATTCATGAGAGGCTTCCATTTACACTGCTTATCTTTCCCACAATTCTGTATGGCTATTGTGTCTCTGCAATGTTCCCTCAAAAAGCAGCCACCTTAGATTCACGACAGGCTTCCATTTACACATCTCCTCTTCCCTACAATTCTCTACTGCAGTCTTTTGCCCACAGTGTTCCCTCAGAAAAGCAGCCATCTTAGATTCACGACAGGCTTCCATTTACACATCTCCTCTTCCCTACAATTCTCTACTGCAGTCTTTTGCCCACAGTGTTCCCTCAGAAAAGCAGCCATCTTAGATTCACGACAGGCTTCCATTTACACATCTCCTCTTCCCTACAATTCTCTACTGCAGTCTTTTGCCCACAGTGTTCCCTCAGAAAAGCAGCCATCTTGGATTCACGACAGGGTTCCATTTACACAACTTCTCCTCCCACAATTCTCTGCTGTCATCCTTTTTTACTACAATGTTCCCTTAGAAAATCAGCCACCTTGGATTTATCTTATACTTCCACCAACTCCCTCACCACAACCAGAGTCTAGAAACAACAAGTTCTATTGCCTCCAAGGGCCAATCCATCCTCTGTGGCCCAGTCAGGTCTTCCCTGCGTAGTTCCTGTCAAGTAGCCTCACGCCTTGCCCATGGCTCATGGCCTAACGGTGCCCACTTCTCCCCCTTGCTCGCTTACAGATGACGTCATCTCCAAACTGGTGCTGGGCGATATGCTCAAAGATGGAGGTGAGCACCGGCAGGAGGGCCACAGTGGTGTAGGTGATGTTCTGGCCCACACCCTTGACCTGGGTGCGAGACTGTGACACTTTGCCCAGCTTGAGGTTCTCCACCATCTTCTCGATGTCATCCGAGGCGCCCTCAAAGAAGGAGCGTAGGCCGGCCTTCACAATCTCCGGGCCTGATTTCATCACCGTCCTGCCGAGGAAATAAGGGGGTCTCATATCAGATGTCGGGACAGGGGAAGGAGGGCCCTGAAGGATACCAAGATCGTGAAATGACTCCTCTCTTTGGCTAGCACCAGGGGTCATTTCGTTTCCCACAGCTGCAAAGAGGGGAGTGGAGTATTGCTTTTGGCCCCTTATCCTATAGCAGCCAGGGGTCATTTCCTGGGGGAGCGCACAGGAGCGGAGCTCTGGCAGTAAAGAGCCCAGGGGGCAGGAACATGCAACAAGCCCCGCTCCCTGCTCCCAGCAGCCCTCAGTCAGGCCACAAGGATCAAGAAGTAACCAGGTAAGTTGCAGACCCTCCCCCCACCTTCAGGTACAAGTTCTCCCTCCTCTGTGAGGGCAGATCTGTGCGTTCCCCCAATAGCTGGCAATCCAAAACAGTCCAGTGGAGCCTGAGCGGTGGGTGTTGCCTTCTGACACACTTCCAGTGATGTCAGGGGGTGTGGCATATGCAAATAAGCTATGCTGATGAGTTATGCTAATGAGCTCCTGCACCTCTTTTTCTACGAAACGACCCGGTAGCAGCCATTTTGGGGTGGCACTCTCCACTCCCTCTCAACATTCTATTGGTGCCCCCAGACTCAGGAAGGTTGGGGACCCCCGATATACTCATTTCAGCACAGAGCATAACTTGGGGAGGCAGGGTCTGTGCGGCCCCCTGGAAGCTCTCGTCTGAATTATTCCCCGTTTGGCTGCAGTGATGCACACTGGGAGCAGTGTTCCCTCTAAGCTGAGTGAGTGTGAGCTAGCTCACAGTTTTTTTAGCCTCCGGCTCACACATTTTTGCTTTCGCCCAGGGAGGAGGGCTCCAGAACAGACGAATCGATGCAGCAGCCAAACTGCTCGCTCACGACTTTCATGCCGGCAGCTTGCAAAGCAGAATTTTTGCACACAAGAACTCCACAGCTTCGAGGGAGTATTGACTGGGAGGAACGGATTCTCTGGGAGAGGTGGAAGGAACCGACTCACCGGGCATCCAGCGACCGTGCCAAGATGTGAAGGCAGTTGACCACGGCGGCGGCATCCGTACCTGGAGGGAGAAAGGAGGCCCTTCTTTAGGGATAGAGGCCCTGGGGAACAGGCGCTCAGACCGAGCGGGCAGAGGGAAGGAGGGACGGCAGATGGGTTCGTGGGGGGGGCAGCGTGAGGGAAGGAAAGAGGGTTGAGAGGAGGCGGGCTAGGTGCCTGGACCTCGCTGAGCCGGCGATGGGGAGAAGAAACGGAGAGGCAGGCCGACCCCCCCGACCCCCCCCTCCCGGAAGACTGCCGAGCCAGGGTGCCGCTTACCAAAGAGAGAGACCCGGTGCCTGACCAGGGCCGCCAGTTTGCAGAAAAGGCTAAAAGGTGGGAAAAGAGAGGCAGAGGAGAAAGAGTGAAGGAGACCGTTGGGGGGAGGAGGGCTCCAAGTTGAGGCCGACGCTCTACTTTTTTGGGCAGAACTCTACGGTAAAAATGGCTACAAACCATAGAGTGTAGTATGAATGGGAATATAAAGATATATAGGGTTTTTTCCTTCTTCATTGTTCATATTCATATTTTTCCTGGTTTTATGAATTTCTCTTTTAAGTAATATTTTACTAGAATGTAAGAAAGGCCTGTTATATAGAAGGCTTTCCTCTTGTAGGTCTGATATTGCTAGCAGACAAGATAATAGGTACAAAGTTCATGATTCTGTAGTTCTTAGGGCAAAACCTTGCAATGTCTGGGTCAGAGAAGATTTTGGTCTCATATCAGGGGGAAAACACTTTTGTTTGGGATATGAAGACTCCTTGCCCATTATCATTTTAGGTTAGGTTAAGTAAACACTTAGATTTTACGTAGGTACTTCTCTCTTTACATCTGGCCAATCAGAGGATTATTACTCAAATTGCCATTGTCTTTTATAACCAATTATGCTTTTTGAATATTGTTTTCTTGACGATGTCAGTCCATGTATAAAAGATCACGTATTTCCTGAATATGGAGAAGAAGAAAGCATAATTCCTGAATATGCTGAGAAGAAAACAGTCAATTTTTGATGAGTTATTTGGTCCAATTGTTTTCCTGTTAATTGAAATAAAACATGGATCTTCCTCCTCATTTGATTTACTTTTTTCAGCAGGAACTCATTAGCATAATAGACCACACCCAACAGCAGAAACGTATTACGATTGGCTACATTAAGGGTGTGTGGCCTAACATGAAAAGGGGTTCTTGCTACAAAAAAAATGCCCTGGGTTTTGACAACAAACAAGGTGAACAGAATAAGAGGCAAAAGGTGGGTGTGGCTGGATGGACACACTTCAAGTAACATGGAGGTGTGGCCTAATATGGCCATGAACTGTGCTGTTGGGAGTGTGGCCTAATATGCTAATGAGTTTCTGCTGTTGGGTGTGGCCTATTATGCTAATGAGTTCCTGCTGGCTTTTTCTACCAAAAAAGCCCCGGTCTTTTATAACCAATTATGTTTTTTGAATATTGTTTTCTTGATGATGTCAGTCCATGTATAAAAGATCATGTATTTCCTGAACATGGAGAAGAAGAAAGCATATTTCCTGAATATTGTTTTCATGTTAATTGAAATAAAACATGGATCTTGCTCCTCATTTGACTTACTTTTTGACATGGAATCTAATATGTACAACAGAGTTTTGACCAAAAAGTAGAGCATCGGCCCTCCCACGTGATGATGTCACTCCCGGAGGTGACATTGGTGTGTTACCGACGTCGCGTGGGGACGGCTGTTTGAGGGGCAGGGTTTCCCCCACCGGCCAGCTGGCTAGCGGTGGCCAAGAGCCCGCAAAAGCGAGGAATCCCCCATCCTGACTATAAGCCTGGCAAGCCCATTAGTGAGGCTGCTTGGGAAAGGGGGGGGGGTTGCAGGTGTTCTCTCCCACCCCCTCCCCACCCCGAGGCGTTGCACATGCAGCCAACGTTGGCAGAAGAAGCAAGACCGCAAGCGAAGGAACTGTTCGTAGAATTCCAGCGGGCTGTTATCGGATTCTCTGCCACAATCCGTCTCGCTATTCTCGTAGAATATTCCGCCACCTTTCAAAACTTGTGAAAAGTTTCGTTTTTGGCTCTCGCGCAGTGAAGCATTACGGAACAGAAAACCCAGGTTTGCTTTGGAAAGGGACCCAGACCGACAGCCGCTCCTAGCTGCCTAATGCGCGTATGCGTAGAGTACGAGCATTTGCGAGCCAGTCTGTTCCCGCTTGTCGCTCACACATTTGGGGGCTTCTTTCGCAGCACAGTTGGAAAATGTAGAAGAAATTTGGAGTCCAGTGGCACCTTTAAGACCAACAAAGCTGTATTCAAGGTATGAGCTTTTGTGTGCAGGGCACACTTTTTCAATATTTGAAAAAGAACATAAGAGAAAACAATGTTGAATCAGGTCAAAGGCCCATCCAGTCCAACACTCTGTGTCACACAGTGGCCAAAAACACCAGGTGCCATCAGGAGGTCCAGCAGTGGGGCCAGGACACTAGAAGCCCTCCCACTGTTGCCCCCCCCCCCAGCACCAAGAATACAGAGCATCACTTTCCCCAGGCTGAGAGTTCCTATCTAGACCTTGTGGCTAATAGCCACCGATGGACTTCTGCTCTATATAAGAACATAAGAGAAGCCAGTGTTGGATCAGGCCAATAGCCCATCCAGCCCAATGCTCTGTGTCACACAGTGGCCAAAAACACCAGGTGCCATCAGGAGGTCCAGCAGTGGGGCCAGAACTCTGGAAGCCCTCCCACTGTTGCCACCCCCTCCAAGCACCAAGAAGACAGAGCATCCCTTGCCTGAGGCCGATAGTTCCTATCTAGACCTTGTGGCTAATGAAACCCCCCCCACTGTTGCCCCCCCCCCCCAGCACCAAGAATACAGAGCATCCCTTGCCCCAGACCAAGAGTTCCTATCTATACATTGTGGCTAATGGCCACCGATGGGCCTCTGCTCCAGATGTTTGTCCCCTCTTGAAGCCGTCCATGCTTGTAGCCGCCACCACCTCCTGTGCAGTGTTCCCTCTAAGCTGAGTTAGTGTGAGCTAGCTCACAGTATTTTAGCCTCCGGCTCACACATTTTTAGCTTAGCTCAGGAAGGAGGGCTCCAGAGCAAACTAATTTATGCAGCAGCCAAATCGCTCGCTCACAACTTTAATGCCAGCAGCTCCCAAAGTAGAATTTTTGCTCACAAGACTCCACAGCTTAGAGGGAACATTGCTCCTGTGGCAGCGAATTCCACGTGTTCATCACTCTTTGGGTGAAGAAGGACTTCCTTTTATCCGTTCTAACCCGACTGCTCAGCAATCCCATGTAGCGCCCAGGAGTTCTTGCATTGTGAAAAAAGGAGAAAAGGACTTCTTTCTTGACCTGCTCTGCCTGCGTGCACACGAAACCTCATATCTCGAATAAACCTCTGTTGGTCTCAAAGGTGCCACCGAACTCTAAATTTGTTCCACTGCTTCAGACCAACACGGCCGACCACCTGGATCGATCTACTTGGGGAAGGTAATGCGTGAAACAGCCCTAAATGCGCGCGCGCACACTCACGCACACACCAGCTTCTCGGAAATCATTTTAGGTGCCCGTTTTGACATGGGGGGCCTTGGGTCTTGAAAGCCAACACCCTGAAAATCTTCGTTCGTCTCTGAGGTGCTGCTGGACTCGTATCCAGCTCCTTGCAGGGACTGAACTCCCGACCCTCACCTGGTTATCATCTCTTTCTCCTTGTTGGAAGCGTGGCCCCCGCTACCCAGGACTTTGGCAGGGGTGGACAAGAAGTAAAGGCAGTGATTGGTGAAGTACTGGTTGATCAGAGGCAAGAGGATCTAGAAAGACAAAGAAGAGTAAAGGTTCCATTTACCAGTGATTCCACAGCGCTGGGCAGGATCTCCGGCAAAAATCGGATCGAGACGTTCTCATTCCAGAGTTGCTGCTGTAACTCCTATCATGCCCGCGTTGCGCTAAGCACTGTATGGCCAGTGTGCTCTGGGAGGGGCTACGGCTCAGTGGCAGAGCGCCTGCTTGGCATGCAGGAGGTCCCAGGTTCGATCCCTGGCATCTCCAGTTAAAAGGACCAGGCAGGAGGTGATGGGAAAGACCTCTGCCTGAGACCCTGGAGAGCCACCAAGTGGGGATGTGGCTCAGTGGCAGAGCCTCTGCTTGGCGTGCAGAAGGCCCCAGGTTCGATCCCCGGCATCTCCTGTTAAAAGGACCAGGCAGGAGGTGATGGGAAAGACATCTGCCTGAGACCCCGGAGAACTGTGAAGTGGGGCTCTGTGGCTCAGTGGTAGAGTGTCTGCTTGGCATGCAGAAGGTCCCAGGTTCAATCCCCGGCCTCTCTCCAGTTAAAAGGACCAGGCTGTAGGTGATGGGAAAGACCTCCGCCTGAGACCCTGGAGAGCCATGAAGTGGGGTTGTGGCTTAGTGGAAGACTGACCTGGATGGACCAATGGCAGCATCATGGGTCCATGTATTTTGGGAGCAGAGAAGAGGGCAGTCCCTCCCACCCTGTCTCCTTAACCCCCCGCCCTCAAAACACACACTTCTTGTGGCCGTGGGGGTCAACTCCTCGGGGAGACTCACCTTGGCGAAGAATTTGATCTCTTGTTCGTGGGGGGATTTCTCCACCCGCCCGCTGCTCACCACAGCCTCTGGAGACAGAAAGCAAGACCCGCCCGTGAGTATCACCGCACGGGGAAAGAATCACAGACGCTCGCGAGCGATGCACGGATTCCCCTTCTCCTTATTGCACTGACCGGGGCGATAAGGTTTCAACCTTCGCTCAGGAACGGGCTGGCCTTGAACCAGAACCCAGAACTGACTCGCTAGAGCCAACCTTCCCCGCCATCTCCACCAACGGAATCCAGGAGCCTCCTTCACCACCTCCTCTAGCCCCCCCCCAGATCTCCCCACATGCCAAAAGAAGAACCGTCTCTCTCTTTGCACCCGATCTGCCGTTTCGCTCAAGCCAGCTCTCTGCCTGCAGAAGTGAAGCGCATGCCACCTAAAGGCAGGGCTTTCTCAGTGGTGGGCCCTTGTCTGTGAGAGGTGAGAGGGTTGGAATCCAAGTCTTACGAGGAAAGGCTGAAGGAGCTGGGTCTGTTTAGCCTGGGAAAGAGAAGGCTTAGAGGGGACACGATGGCAGTCTTCAAATATCTGAAGGGCTGTCGTGTAGAAGATGGAGCAGATCTATTCTCTCTTGCTCCGGACTGGAAGACTAGATCTAACGGGTGGAAATGACAAGGGAGTCGAATTCAGTGTTCCCTCTAAGCTGAGTTCGTGTGAGCTAGCTCACAGTTTTTTAGCCTCCGGCTGACACATTATTGTCTTCGCTCAGGAAGGATGGCTCCAGAGCAAACTAATTTATGGAGTAGCCAAATGGCTCGCTCACAACCTTAATGCCAGTAGCTCACAAAGTAGAATTTTTGCTCAGAAGACTCCACAGCTTAGAGGGAACACTGGAGTCGATACCGGCTAAAGATCAGGAGAAACTGCCTAACTGTGAGAGTGGTTGAGCAGTGGAACAGTCTGCCTCGGAAGGGGGTGGAGGCTCCTTCGCTGGACGTTTTCAAGCGGGGGCTGGACAACCATCTCTCGGGTATGTTGTAGGGCTATCTTTCGGCTGCGCTCCCGCAGAGTGCAGGGGGGGTTGGACTAGATGACCTGCAAGGTCCCTTCCAACTCTAACATTCTATGATTCTGTGGGATGCTCCCTCTCCTTCCCTACTCCGTTAGCACTGAGACACAAAGCGAAATGTTTCCGTTTTATCCCATGTCTTATGGTTTCACTGCTATTCGGATGTTCTCCCCTACCTATTGAAGCTTTCGCCACTTGCCTTTTAAGGTTCACACAACCATTTTAATGCTGCCAGATATTTCCCCCCGTTTTTTTAGTTAGTATTTTGTGTGTGTGTGTGTGTGTGTGTATGCCTGGAAGTCTTTGTTGACTTCTGGCGACCCCTAGTGGGCCTTGAACATTTCAGAGAGCTGGCTGGTTATTGCCTGTCTCCGCATCCCAGCCCTGGTATTCCTTGGAGGTCTCCCTTCCAAGCACTTGCCAGGGTCGGCCCTGCTTAGCTTCCAAGATCTGACGAGATCGGGCTTGGCTGGACCATCCAGGTCAGGGCTTAATGCTGCTAGTTTTAACGCACAATGCGGGACAGATTTATTGCCGAGAGATGAAGAAGAAGAAGAGGAGGAGGAGGAGGAGGAGATTGGATTTATACCCTGCCCTTCACTTGGAGTCTCAGAGCGGCTTACAAACTCCTTCCCCTCCCCACAACAGACACCCTGTGAGGGAGGTGGGGCTGAGAGAGCTCTTGACAGAAACTGCTCTTTTTCAAGGACAGCTCTTATCAGAACTACGGCTTGCCCAAGGTCATCCAGCCAGGTGCAAGAGGAGGAGGAAGAAGAGGAGGAGGAGGGAAAAGGAGAGGAGGAAGAGGAGGAGGAAGAAGAAGAGGAAGAAGAGAAAGAAGAAGAGGAGGAGGAGAAGGAAGAAGAGGAGGAGGAGGAGATTGGATTTATACCCCTCCCTTCACTCCCCAAAGGAGTCTCAGAGCGGCTTACAAACTCCTTCCCCTCCCCACAACAGACACCCTGTGAGGTAGGCGGGGCTGAGAGAGCTCTTGACAGAAACGGCTCTTTTTCAAGAACAGCTCTTATCAGAACTACGGCTTCCCCAAGCTCATCCAGCTAAGTGCGAGTGGAGGAGTGGGGAATCAAACCCGGTTCTCACAGATTAGAGTTCGCGCACTTCACCACTACAGTTTTTTTTGTTGCTGTATTGATGCACTGTTTTGTGTGTGTGCTACTTGTTGTTTTGTTTCCTTTTCTCCTGTGTTAGCCAACTGGAGAGGCAGGATGTTATGCACTGGGACTGAATCGTCCCTGACTGAATCGCCCCAGAGACTGGCTGAGCTTGGAGGACAACAACAATAGCCTGCCAGGATCCTGAAAGTAACCAGTCTAGTAGTCGTGTTATGTAAACAGCCTATCACTTGGAGTGGGGTTTGTTTGGGTGTGGCGATTGCATGGTATTTAACAGAGCTAAGGCTCTGGGGTCTTGTCTTGCGCTGGCTGCAATCACTAATAAAGTAGAACTGAGCACTAGGCTTGTGGTCTGTTCATCCACGGAGCCCACTATTTAACACAGGGTATAAAATGTCTCGAACAAAAACCTGAGAAGGAGCTCAGGCGTCCTGGCTCAGGCAGCTGATCCTGCACTAGAGGTCACGGCCCCCTCTCCTTCCTCTCTCTCTCGTGCTTTCCGGCTCCGTGCGTACCACCCATCAGTCCTGAAAAGCGGCCGTGAGGAGGAAGATCGGCAGCTCCCAAAGATGTTTACCCAGGTGAGCGATGAACTCCTGAGAAGTGTCCATCCACTTCAGCAGCTGCTTCAGGAAGCCGTAGGCAAAGCGTTTCTCGATGGACGACGTGTCCAGCTCCATGTCCTTCAACCCCCTGCCAATAAAAAAACCCCCAAGTTTGACGTTTAAGGGACAGTCTCACGGAACCGGGGGCTAGTACACTAGAGACGCTCAACTAAAGAAGCGAGGTTCTGCCGACGTGAGAAGCAGGACGTCTAGTGTGGTGTGGCAGTTAGAAGAAGGAGAAGAGAAGAGATTGGATTTGTTCCCTGCTCTTCACTTGGAGTCTCAGAGCGGCTTACAATCTCCTTTCCCTTCCCCTCCCCACAACAGACACCCTGTGAGGTAGGTGGGGCTGAGAGAGCTCTCTTTCGAGGACTGCTCCTGAGAGAACAGCTCCGAGAGGACTTGTGACTGACCCAGGGTCACTCCGGTAGCTGCATGTGGAGGAGTGGGGAATCAAACTCGGTTCTCCCAGATAAGAGTCTGTGCTCTTAATCACTACACCAAACTGGCTGTGTCACACTAGATCAGGGTTCCCCAACGTGAAGAAGAAGAAGAGATTGGATTTATACCCCGCCCTTCACTACCCAAAGGAGTCTCAGTGTGGCTTACAAACTCCTTTCCCTTCCCCCCCCCCAACAGACACCCTGTGAGGTAGGTGGGGCTGAGAGAGTTCTGACAGAAACTGCTCTTTTTCAAGGACAGCTCTTGTCAGAACTATGGCTTGCCCAAGGTCATCCAGCAGCTGCATGTGGAGGAGTGGGGAATCAAACCCGGTTCTCCCAGATAAGAGTCTGTGCTCTTAACCATTACCCCGCTCTTCACTACCCAAAGGAGTCTCAGAGCGGCTTACAATCTCCTTTTCCGTCCCCTCCCCACAACAGAAGGGTCTCTCATTGGACAACCCTCAGCATTTTTGCCAAACTACAATTTCCTGGAGTTCTTTGAGGGGCAACCGTGCTAAAATCGATTTGTGGGTAGCATAAGCACGCGTCTCGAAAGGAGTAATTCTCCCCAACCTATGTCCTCCCATTAATCCTGGCCCATATTTCACGCACACTGCCTTTCGGAAGAAGAGGTTTTGCAAAGGCCTTTCTCCGGGAAACGGAGGCCGTAGGTGCCTAGGAGGAGCATGAGGTCCCCGTTCTCCCGGACCTCTCCTTGCTCACACTGCAGGACACTTTGTGTCTGAGTCTCCATCTGGGTCTGCATCAGTGTTCCCTCTAAGCCGAGCTACTGTGAGCTAGCTCACCGTTTTTTAGCCTCGGGCTCACACATCTTTCTCTCGGCTCAGGAAGGAGGGCTCAACACAAAATAGTTCCAGCAAAACATATGATATATTTGTACGTACCTGGTTCCCTGTACTTGACTTCATGGCTGAAAACAATGTGCTTCCTTCTAGGACGAGTTATCACATATGGCTACACTTTTGAGTTTAACTGAACCTCCACCTTATTGTCAAGACTCCTCTTGTGAATCAGAGCAGCAGATTCTTTTTATCTTTTAAACTTGACTCAATTCTATGGGATTCATAGCTCACATAGCATCTATGTATAGGTGATCGGATTTAGTTCTAACTTAGTTTGTTATGACTGTTGATGTATGTTGTAAAAATCTGTATCGATGACTAACTGGTTGGTTTGTAATTTTGGATTTTCAGGACAGTTGTATACTGTTTTGCAGTTATTATATTTCTTGATATGTTATACTTCCTCTTAATAAACAGGTTTTTAAAAAAAGGAAGGAGGGCTCAAGGGCAAACTGATTTATGCCGTAGTCAAGCTGCTTGCTCACAACTTTCACGTCAAACACAAAAAGGGAACTGTGCAAAAATTGCTGCATTTGATATCACAAACTAACCCTCTATATAGTAACTATATACTGATATAACCAGTTTATATCACTAACCCTCTATTTCCATGTAATGCCGAAAGTCCATTTGTTTTTTTTCAGACATGCAATCAAAGAAGTCCGTAGCGCCTTCATCAAAGATCAACAACACCTTTCATAAAAATACAACAACCATTAATCCCACCAAATTTACATGCAAAGGCAATGTACCTATAGTGTTCAATAAACAATTTATACATACAAAGACTTCTTTGATGGTATGTCTGAAAAAAAACCAAACGGACTTTCGGCATTACGTGGAAATATAGACTTTTGTGATATAAACTGCAGCCGTCTTTGCAGAGTTTCCTTTTTGTGTTTTGGCTTTACCGTACTGTGGGACTGTGACCCTCTTGCTTTCCTCTTCCTCTCTCCACAACTTTCGCGCCAGCAGCTCACAAAGCAGAATAGTTTGCTCACGAGAACTCCACAGCTTAGCGGGAGCGTTGCTCTGCGTCCCTGCTTTGCTCATTCGGGGGCTCACCTGGTCACCGCGTAACCGTTCAGCTGCAGGAATTTGAGCAACTCCTGGGCCTTTTCTCGGTCCCGGGCCTTCTCCTTGGCCGTCAGCGTGTCGTAGGGCACCAGCAGTGGGTGAGTGCCACCCCCTTGGGGGAGGACAGAGAGGAAAAGAGGAGGGGGTCAAGGCTGCTGTAAGGACTGGGGTGGGGACATCACCGCCCCAGGGAGAGCGGCAGAGAAAGGCAGGGGGGTCACCTTTGGCTTCCAGCTCCAGCTTCTTCTTGCGACCCCAGGTGTTGTGGTAGTTCTCCGCCAGCTGCTCAGCCATGGCCTGTGGAGAGACCCCAAAGGGTGGGAGATCAGAACAAGCATCCTGGAACTTGAGAAGGGCTTGTCATGAAGGCCGGCATTGAGCTGTCCGTTACGGAATTGCATGAACATCTGTTTCCAAACAAAAAACAGCCAAACGTCTCCCTGTCCCGGGTGAGGGAGAGAAGCAGCCGCTGTGGCTCAGAGGGAGAGTGTCTGCTTGGCAGGCCGAAGGAGTAAGAAGGAGTTGGGAGTAAGCAGTGAAGTAGCTCAGTGGCGGAGCCGCTGCTTCGCCTGCAGAAGGTCCCAGGTTCGATCCCCAACATCTCCAGTTAAAAGGACCAGGCAGGAAGTGATGGGAAAAGACCTCTGCCTGAGACCCTGGAGAGCCATGAAGTGGGGCTGTAGCTCACTGGAAGAGCCTCTGCTTGGCATGCAGAAGGTCCCAGGTTCGATCTCCGGCATCTCCAGTGAAAAGGGACCAGGCAGGAGGTGATGGGAAAAACCCTGGAGAGCCATGAAATGGGGCTGTAGCTCAGTGGCAGAGCCTCTGCTTGGCCTGCAGAAGGTCCCAGGTTCAATCCCCGGCATCTCCAGTTAAAAGGACCAGGCAACAGGTGATGTGAAAGACCTCCGCCTGAGACCCTGGAGAGCCATGAAGTGGGGCTGCGGCTCAGTGGGAGAGCCTCTGCTTGGCATGCAGAAGGTCCCAGGTTCAATCCCCGGCATCTCCAGCTAAAAAGGACCAGGCAGGAGGTGATGTCAAATTCCTCCGCCTGAGACCCTGGAGAGCCATGAAGTGGGGCTGTAGCTCAGTGGTAGAGCCTCTGCTTGGCATGCAGAAGGTCCCAGGTTCAATCCCCGGCATCTCCAGTTAAAAGGACCAGGCAGTAGGTGATGTGGAAGACCACTACCAAGGACCCTGGAGAGCCGCTGCCAGTCTGAGTAGACAAGACTGACCTTGACGGACCAAGTAGAAGGCAGCTTCATATGTGTTCATATGAAGAAGCAGGGAGATCTTATATGCTAAGGAATAGCAGGGATTTGTACAGCATGGGATGTGTCTTTTTCCAACGTGACCCCTGATTATCCGTGGTCTCCATAGGAAGTACCTGTTCTCAGAGACAAAACGTGTGACTGAAATGTGTTCGAGGAAAAAGGACTTCAGTGTCTTTTCCCAACGTGACCCAGGCTTATCCGTGGTCTCTATAGGAAGTACCTGTTCTCAAAGATGGCCTCCTGCACAAAACGTGTGACTGAAATGTGTTCGAGTGTGTAAAGTGCCTACAAGTTGCAGCCAACTTATGGAGAACCTGTAAGGCTTTCAAGGCAAGAGACATTCAGAGGTGGTTTGCCGTTCCCTGCCTCTGACCCTGCTTAACTTCCATGATCTGACATGATCTTTACATTCAGAGGCACAAAGCCTCTGAATCCCAGAGCCAGGAGGCAACGTCAGCCTCTCTGCCCTGTTCTTGGCCCTCCAGAGGAACCGGTTGGCCACTGTGTGAGACAGGATGCTGGACTAGATGGATCCTCACTGGTCCGATCCAGCAGGGCTCTTCTGATGTTCTTATGAAGGCCTCGGCCTCTCTGCCCTGTTGTTGGACCTCCAGAGGAACTGGCTGGCCATTGTGTGAGACAGGAGGCTGAACTAGATGGAATATTGGTCTGATCCAGCAGGGCTCTTCTGATGT